TGGGGTGAGCACCCCGGGTCTGGACAGGCAGCACTGGGCACAGCAGGCAAGAAGGACCTCAACCAAGAAGCCCGTGCCATGCACGTCAGAGCAGGAAGGCAGCCTAAACAACTCCTGTCTGTTCGGTCTTCTGGCCATTTCCAGTGGGATCCTCTCAGGCAGGGATTTTCTCTCCGAATCTCCAAAACCTTACAATATGTCGAGAGCATAGAAGTATTCATGGAATGAATATGTGAATGGATGGTTTCATTTTTTCAGGTTGTTTAATACCACAGTTAACAGGGCCAAGTATGGTGGCCCACACCTGCATTTCCAGCTACATAGGATGAAGAGAAAAGGAAAACCAAGACCAGCCAGCCAGGCAAAAGGTTCATCTCCACCAATAAGCAGTCCAAGCTGGTCCCAGTTATAAACTCAAGATGATATTTGAAAAACGGCTAAAGCAATGAAGAGCTGGGAGTGTGGCTCAAGAGGTAGAGCACCTGCCTCACCAGGGTAAGCCCTGAGTTCGAACCCCAGTGCTCATCCTAAAGAAAGTATACATAAATACATAGACATAAGTTGTGTGTGTTTATATATATAATATATGTAACAGTCAATAATGTGTCTGTTCTTGTTCTGATGAAGTCATCTGATGTAGCGCTATCTACCACGATCTATTTTAAAAGTTCTCATAAACAACCGAGTCTGCTCTTGACCAACTACTCTCTAGGTAATATAGTCAATCTTGGATTTTTAGGGAGCTGTTGACAAAAACATAAGAACTAAATTTAGCATAGAACACCATGTGGGCTGACTTATCCTGGACTTCCCTCCAGAGGCCGGGCCCCTTTTAAAAATATCCAAAAACAAATTTTATCAGGGGCAGAAAAATCCCTGTGTTCAGAGCGAGATGTGGGCTCGGGTTGGAGACCTCCTTTGGAACGTATCTAATTACAATCCACCTGAGCAAAGGAAGATGGCGCAATGCCTATCACATAAAGAAATGAAACATCCAGAGAGCTGAGTGCTACAGTTGAAGTGGACGGAGCAGCTACAGCCCCGGGCCCGCTGGTGCCCGCTTGCGGCCCCCGCCGCCCTTCGCCGGTCCCCTCCCCGCTTCAACAGCACAGCCGGAGCCCCTGTTTGAAGGCAATCTGACAGCAGGTCAGCCCCCTCTCCACCAAGCACGCCCTTCAGCCCTCCTCTGCAGGGCAGCTGTGGGTCTGTCCACTGTGGGGACAGGACAGGCCTTGGCCAGTCATGTGCACACACACACTTAGGCCCACGAAAAGGATCACAACAGGTCTATATAAAACTATGCTGTGACTTCCACCTCTCCTTCCCCGTGAGCCCAGCCGAGAAAGACAGGGCTGCCCTCCGCTGTAGGAAATGTGAGGAAGGGGCATCCAAGGACCAGGTGATTCACAGAGAGCTGACACAGGCCGGCCGCCCGCTCAGGGGCGGAGGCTGGGAGACCTCGGGGAGCTGAGAAAGGTGTGTGGGGAGGGGAGGGAGGTGGGCTAATCAAATGCGTGGGAAGCGCAGCTGTGAGCCAGGACGTCCAGCCTCCTGCCGCAGGAGCTCCATTGCTCCACTGCAGAGCTGTGCTCTCCTCACTCCTCTGCCGTTTGATTGCAACCCCACACAGACAGGAGAGCTCATGGGCCCAAGGCAGGCAGGCAGCAAATCGGTGGTGGCCGCTGCTTACGCCTTCCTGGGCACATGCCTTCCTCCAGCCCCTCTTCCCACCCTCCAGCCCCTGGTCACACAGTCATGCTAGCTCACATGGCCAGATAAAGATCTGCTGCAAGACCTCTCCCCTTCCTGGTAGAGGAGAGACAAGACTTGTAAATATATACATCTGTGTGTATGTGTGTGTGTATTATGTATCATTTATATTATAAGAAAAAGTAACTTGGCTCTTACATAATTAGGTGCATCCCTGAACTAACCTGTAGTGAGTAAATGACTGCCGGTTGAGCAGCTTTATCCAAAATGCTCAGGGCCAGAAGTGTTTCAAATTCAAGGGATGGTTGGGGGTGAGGGTGGAGGAATTCTGGAATACTGAATGAACTTTGCCACTTGAGAATCCTTAATCCAAAAAAATCATAAATCTGACACATCCTGAATCTCAATATTGTATGGAACATGGTGCACAAAAATGTCCAGATTTTGAAGCATGTCTGATTTGCAGATTTAGGATGCTGAAAGCCTTTAACAGGATTGTTATCACCCTTTTTTTTTAAGTTGTGGTATTTCTCGTCTTGAGCAAGGAAACAGCATGTGGGGCCCATTTCAGCCATGGAATAAATCTGCAGGCCACAAGGGCTCAGAGGGGACCCAGGGGAACTTCTGGCCACCCTGCATGGCATTCCCACCTGGGCCTCATGTGCAACCTTGGACATTCCCGATCTCGAGTGAGCTTTCTTCCCAGGAGGGGCTCCTGGGACACAGGTGGACTCCACAAAGTTCATGGTCACAGAGGAACAGAACAAGACAAGAAAGCACGAAGACACTGCCCAAAGCAAAATCAGAAAACCACCTAAGCACAAAGACACTGCCCAAAGCAAAATCAGAAAACCACCTAAGCTTTTAGGTAGTCATGGCTTACTCGTAAGAATTTGCTAGGGGGAGTCCAACTCCTAAATTAGAGGTACACCTTCTCCTGCACGTGGCTGAGTGACAAACACGCTGGCTCTAAGCCGTGTGGTCACCGCCACAGCTACTCGACTCTGCCCACGTAAGTGAGAAAGTCGCAGGTGACCACACTATAGTGAGGGACCATGGTAGGATCCCACTAAATTTTGTTTACAGACACTGCAGCTCAAATTCCTGTCATTTCTTATCCCTTTTTCCCCCAATGACTTACTCTTGACTCTCCAGCAGTAATAAACAAGGCATGGAAGGCCCCTAGGAGTGAGGGAAGACCCCTTTCCAGCCCAGCCCCCTCAGAACGTGTCACGCGATTAGCACCCCTGACCCCCACAAGAAAGAAAATTCTAGCACCAGCGCTTCTCTGACAGTGTTGCCCCTGGGCTGAGCAAATCCCGCTGGATGCCTGTGGAAGCTAGGCCCGGTGGCGTGTGCACAGAGGACACATTCTGGGACAGGCACTCAACAGCTCCAAACACAGCTCCGCCACTCACTGGCTGAGCAGTGCTGGCCAGGCCTCTGATGTATCAGCCTACGTAAATAGCGAGCAGTCCACACCTGGTGCTGGAGTTAGGATCTATACAATCCCAGTGGTGGCTCAGTGCCATCTCGGGGTCACATGACCCTCGTCCTATCAAGTAACCATCCATCAGAGACCACAGGAGTTATAAATACACCAACATCAGGCCCCAGCTGGAGAACAACTGAGAAATGACAATGGAAATAGCCCACACACCACACAACTGCCGGCCCCTCCTGAGGAGCTCACTGTTTTGAAGTAAGCAGCTTTGCAATGGAGAAACAGCCAGAGCTAGTCTCAAAAAAAACTTCAGATCTTTCAGAAGATGGACAAAGAGCCTCAAATTAGAGCAGAGTCACTGGGGCTCGAGTACCATGCTGCCGTGGTGGCAGGAGACCTGGACCGTGTTCAGCATCTCGCGGAGCAGTTCTTCCGGGATGCCAACATGGTGTATGAGATCAGTAAGGATGAGATGAAATGGCAGGTGGAATTCCCAGCCGCATCTGGGCTGTCGGGTACCCTCACTCCTAGAGAGCTCAATGACACGTTCATTTCAACGAACTACTAACACTGTGGGAATGGATGGCTCCTATGGGCAGGTTGGACACAGAGGCCCTGACTTTAAGGGACATCAGTAAGGAAAGGACACTTGTTTTGGGGGGGCTTTGGGGGGGATCCGGTCGTGGGGCCTGAACTCTGGGCCTGGGCGCTGTCCCTCAGCTCTTCAGCTCAAGGCTAGCACTCTACCACTTGAGCCACAGCACCACTTCCGGCTTTTTTCTTTTTGCTTATGTGGTGCTGAGGAATTGAACCCAGGGCCTCAGGCATGCAAGGCAAGCGCTCTACCAATGAGCCACCTTCCCAGCCCAGGAAAGGACACTTGTAAATGAAGGTTGGTCATTGCGTTGGTTGTGTGTGTGTGTGTGTGTGTGTGTGTGTGTGTGCGCGCGCGCGCACACGCGCGCATGTGTGTGTGAGCACATGTGTGTGTGTGCATGCGCATACAGGCACACATGCCAAAACTAAGGCTTGAAACTCAGGGCCTGTGCACTGCCCCTTAGCTTTTTCACTCAAGGCTGGTGCTCTACCACTTGAGCCACAGCTCCACTTCTGGCTTTTTGGTAGTTAGCTGAAGATGAAAGTCTCCTGAATTTTCCTGCCTAGGCTGACTTCGAATCACGGTCTTCTGGTCTCAGCCTGAGTAGCTAGGATTACAGCAGTGAGCCAGCAGTGTCCAGCTGGTCTGCGTGCGTTTTAAGGTGTAGGGTTTGGTGATGATATGGGATGTGACAGGAAAACCACTGGTGAGCAATGTCTACCTGACGAAGCTAGTCACGCCCCTCACCTTGGGAAGGAGCCTTGATTCAGTGCCCATCATCCAGCAGCCACACTGGGCAGCCAGGGAGATGGGAGCTGGAGGAGAAGGCTGGGTTTCTGGCTCACAGCTCTGTGAGTCCTTCCACGAATCCCTCAACACGATCACTGCCAGCAGCACCCACAGAGAGGTCAGCAGGCCCCAGACATCCTGCTCATGGAACCCAGGAATCCTGAGAAAGGGGAAGAAAAGGGGAACGAGTCAGAGATCCTGCAACATAAATGTCTGGGCTCACCCTGTTCAGACACACCAGCGAATTTCCCGGAGCTCCAACCCGGAACACACAGGCACGTGCCGCTCACCCGGCTGCGGCCGAGCTTCGTGGCTAGCAGTCTGCCGTGGACACCCAGCTTATCACAGTTACCTACGTCGCCATCTCTGATAGCATTGCCAGATGGCAGGAACGGGAAGGTCTGCTGCCCCATTCCCTGACTAGTGAGGCTCTAGGAGCCTCTGATTCTCCCTTGCATTGTGAAGAGTAATAAAGCCAAAACCGGGCCGAAGGGCTGAGTGGTTCCTAAGGTGCAGTGGGGTGGTCAGGGGCTCCAGGAAGTGGGGGGCAGTGCCCATCTGGGCTGCACCCCTGCCTAGAGGAGCTTTTCTGGACCTCCTCTCCTTTCCCCGCCCCATACCAGGAGTGTCAACTGCCCTGGATACACACAGATGTCACGGTTCTAGATGTGTACTCATTTTAACCCACGTGGTACAGGTCTAAGTCCAATGCCTGGGTCCCTTGTGCCTTGTACCTCTTTCTACCCCAGAGCTCTGCTGTCTCACTGTCACACGCGAGGGAGTAGTAGATTGTGTGCAGGCAGAGCCCAGGGAACCAACCACACACAGAGTGGCCAGGCAGGGCTGCCCGATCCCTGCTCTTTCCACTAACTCCACTCCTTCAGTGAGAGCAGCCCCAGCGGCTGAGAACAGGCCCTGCCCCACGGCTCCTACCTGATGCTTCTTACAGGCTGGTGCCCGCTCGCCCTGGGGAAGACAGAGAGGAGCAGAGCGTCTGAGATGCCTGGCCAGCTCCTCAGTCACCCCGCCCCCCCCCCAAGCTGCAGCATAAGGGCTGTCCCAGCTTCCCGGGTCCTCCTAGAGGTGGGAAGCAGAGGTGGCTGACTCCAGATGTCCAAAGCCAGGCTCTCTGTCACCTCCAGGACCTGAGGAGGATGTGGGCTCTGTGCTGCAGCTGAGCTGGCTGCCTACCCTCGGCAGGGAGACTCAGGAAACCAGGGCGGGCTGGTGTGGGGAATCGGACAGGCCCTAAAAGAGTTAGTAACCAGACTTCCCATTTCAGGGAAATAAATAGCAATAGGAAGCAGAAGTATAGTTGTTGATGGCAAAGATGGCATCAGGCCTCTCCCTCTCAATCACTCTGTCTTCACTGGGGAGGCAGCCCAACCCCATGCAGGTACCCAAGCTCCACCACCACCATCTCCCCACACGCGGGCCCCAGGCCTCTGCTTCCCCCATCCATGGCTGCTCGCTCCAGGCTGGAGCTTTGAGACAAGGGCAGGCTGGGATTCTGCCCCCCACACAGGTAGGTCATTAACGAGTGGTCTTTCAAACCGCCTTCCACCAGTCCTGGCGTGGAGGAGGCTCTGCAAGGTCTCCTAGCAGCTCATTACGGCCGCTGGTATCGATCCCTCCATCATTACAGAAGGCCTGCCTGCCCTGTGGGGTCCAGCCCCTTGATGGGGAGTCACCAGGGACTGCCTGTCCTCCCCGGGGCCCTGCCCAGCCAGCAGCCCCCCACAGCCTTTGTGAGCTTTCACAGAAGGGAAATCTGTGACACCCGCTCCATTCATCCTTCAAGAAAGAGCAGCCTTACAACACACACACACACACACACACACACACACACACACACACACACACACACACAGAGAGATGGGAAAGAAACAAGCCAGAACTGCATTCAATGTGGCCACCACATCAAAGCGGCCTTCTAAGGCCCCGCCACCTCCAAGATGACTGAACTTCTCCAGGTGCTTTCCTTCTGTCGCCATGCTCCTGTGAGTCCGTTTGTTTCCTCTGTCTCCTCTTGATAACAAAAGGAGAGAGGGTTAGATTCGGGAAAATTCCACAGCCCCCGGCTCTCCTCTCTCCAGCTACTGCTAATTAAGAGTCTGGAAGATGTCACGTCTACCCTTGGATTCTCCCACTGTCCATCCTGTTTGGTCAACTTTTATCATCTTGAATCTTCTTCAGTTTTATTTTTCTGTACTAGCCCCGGGGCTTGAACCCAAGGCCTGGGTACTGTTCTCTAGCTTTTTTTTTTTTCTTTGCTTAAAGCTGGCCCTCTACTACGTCCATACCTCCACTTCAGAAGGAAATAAAGAGTCTCCTGGACTTTCCTGCATGACCTGGCTTCTAACCGTGATCCTCAGATCTCAGCCTCCTGAGCAGCTGGGATGACAGGCGGGAGCCACTGCAGCTCCTGGCACCATTAACCTGTTTGCAGAAGCTCTCTTGCGCCCCATCTCTCTTGCTCCCTTGCAGCCTTTCTGATCTCTCCTTTCTCTTCTTCCTCCATGGGTCTTCGACTTCCATCTCTCCATCTCTCTAGTTTAGCACCTAGCAGCCTCTTGGGTCTGTCTGTCTGTATGTCTGTATGTCTCTGTCTGTCCGCCTGCCTACTCTCAGGTCTGTCTCCCCTCATGCTTCCCTGGGAACTTTCAGGGATGGCTTGCACCCCGCCGATCCCCCTCCCTCCTGACCCGGGCCCCTCGCCCCGCACCAGGCCTCTGGACCTCGGAGCGCAGGCCGGAGCTCACCGCACCGCTGTGCATCTCACGAGCTGTGCATCTCGGCGCCCGGTGGCCACGAGGCCTGCGCGCAGCACCTGCTGGACCCTGGCGCTGACCCCGACGCCAGCCCGGGACCGCGGTCCCCTGCGTCCCCAGCACGAGGCCTGTCCAGGAGCCACACAGGGCCGGCGGCGCCCAGCCGGACCTGCCAACCCCCTGCGCCGGTGCTGCGCCCCGCCTCCCTCGGGGGTGCGCCCTGACCTCTGCCCGCCGAGCCCCGCGGGGCCGGGCCGCGCCCTGGGCGCCCCATCCCTACCGCTCGGGTCCCCAACCAGGGCCCAGACCGCGTCCCAGGGCCCTGGGGCCCAGGCCGGACCTTCCCCTCGCGCCTGCGCCCCGCGCCCCAGTCGGACCCTCCCCTCGGCGCCCGCACCCCCGGCCCTCGGCGCCCGCGCCCCGGCCCGGCCGGACCCCCTGCCCCCGCCCGGCCCCGGGAGAGTTAATTAGCGCTTGATTGCGAGCGCGCGGGGGGCGCCAGGCCGCGTAATGAGCCGCTGATCACGGCCGCCGGCAACGCGCCCGCCCCGAGAATGCTAAAAGGCCACTGGCGGGGTTGGAGGCTGAAAAATTAGGGTTTCTAATGATAATTTTATGCAGAATAATTGTCACAGTGTGACACAAATGGCCCGCTCCCTGGGCGGGGGCTTCCGCGCCCGCACGCAAGGGGAGGGAGCCCCGCTGCTGCGCCCTGCGCCCTGCGCCGCGCGCGGGGTGCGAAGCTGGCGCTGCTGGGCCAGGGGCGGCGGGGCCCGGCCGGCTCCCCGTCCCCGCCCTGGGGCATCCCTGCTCCGGAGAAGCGCTGGGAAACCCCGCCCGGCCTGCAGTCGACGGCGTCTGCGCCCACAGGGCTGGCAAGGGCCAGGACAGGCAGGCTGCCAGGGTCCCCGCGTTCTGAGCAGACACAAACCCCCACCAACCTTGAGGGTTGGAGGGAAACTGGCAGCATCTTTTAGAAGCTGCATTAGTGAGTTTTAGGTCACACACACACACACACACGTGTTTAAAGTGTGCAGGGTTTCCCCAGCAATGTCTACAATTGTATATTAGTGGAACATATTTGGGGGGTCTGGCTTCTTTCATTCACCCAATTAGTCTGAGATTTATCCACCGTGTGTGAACCCATAGTTCATGCCTTTTTATTGCTGAGTAGTGTTCCACGGTGTAGATATACCAGAATGTGTTTACTTTCACCCTTGGAAGGCATATGTATGATTGGTTCCGGTTTGGGGCAGTTGCAAATAAAACAGCTGCAACTATTGATGTACTAGCAGTCTGCATGCGCATATGCTTTTACTCCTTTTGGATAGATACTGAAAACTGGAATCGCTAGGTCCTAGGATAAGATGGAGAAGATTGGGCTGTCTTACATTTCCACCAGCAGTCTCCTCACCGTGCTTACCATGGTCCCCCAGCCCAGCCAGCAAAGTCCATGAGACCATGGCCAATTAGCCACCAAAAGGCCAGAAGTGGAGCTGCAGCTCACCTGGTAGAGTGTTAGTCTTGAGCAAAAAAGCTAAGCCACAGCTCCCAGACCCAGTTCAAGCCCCTGGACCAGCACAAAACAATAACATCAACAACAAAAAGGAAAAACAATCTGCCTAATCCAAACTCAGATTTTTCTCCTCAGATGTCTCCTAGAAGTTTATGGCTTTTAAAGTTTGTATCTGCATGGATTGCGCTCACTGGTTTGTGCAGCCTTTCAGACCATGGCTCTAAAGAGTATCTGAACCTTTCTTTTGAGTGTGTGTGTGTGTGTGTGTGTGTGTGTGTGTGTGTGTGTGCTGGTCCTGGGGACTGAACTCAGAGCCTTGGTGCTACCCCTCAGTGTTTTTGCTCTAAGGCTAACACTACTACTTGAGCCACAGCTCCACTTCTGGCTTTTTGGTATTCAATTGGAGATAAGAGTCTCACAGACTTTCCTATCCAGGCTGGTTTTGAACCACAATCCTCAGATCTCAGCCTCTTGAGTTAGCTAGGATTGCAAATGTGAGCCACCAGCACTTGCTCATTTTTTTTGTTTTTGTTGTCAGTTGTGGGGCTTGAACTCTGGGCCTGGGCGCTGCCCCTCAGCTCTTCAGCTCAAGGCTAGCACTCTACCACTTGAGCCACAGTATCACTTCGGGCTTTTTCTGTTTATGTGGTGCTGAGGAATGGAACCCATGCAAGGTGAGCTCTCTACCACTGAACCACCTTCCCAGCCCCACCCCACCCATTTTTAACTGAAGGTGAATCAGTGAATCATTCTAGCTAGGATAAGGTCACTACTGACCTAACCCATAAACACTCCCTTGACTCGGATGGCAGGAATCCAACTCATGTTTCTACCCCCAGGGTTGTGTATACTGTGCTCTGTACAACCCCAAATCTGTCAGCTGCTCGCACTCTGGTCTCAGAGCCCAGTGGGACCAGGCCTCTTACACTAGGGCTGGATTGCTCTGAACAGTCTATGATCCATTCCAAGTTGATTGTAGGTTTGAGTGAGGCACTGTGGGGTTTTGCTTTTTTTGGGTTTTGCATACAGATATCAACTTCTCCATCACTAGCAAAAAAAAATACTTTGCTTTTCTTTGTCTATTCAGTTGCCTTTGAACTTCTGTCAAAAATCAAATTGCTGGGCTGGGAAGGTGGCTCAATGGTAGAGTGCTTGCCTTGCATGCATGAGTCCCTGGGTTCAATTCCTCAGCACCATATACACAGAAGAAACTGGAAGTTGCACTGTGGCTCAGGTGGTAGAGCGCTAGCCTTGAGCTGAAGAGCTGAGGGACAGCGCCCAGGCCTAGAGTTCAGACCCCACAACTGACCCCCCCCAAAAAAAAATCCATTTGCCCATATGGGTGGGGGAGGGAGAGAGAGAAAGAGAGAGGGAGAGAGTTTATTTCTGGACTCTTTTGTCAAATACTCATAAGCCAAGACAAAGTCTTATTGATTTAGCTGGTAAGACATATGGAGGTATTTTATTAAATAGTGAAAATGGGTCTTTGACCCATGCACCACAAAAGAAGGCATCTGAACAGAAAGGGCATTGTGTGTGGAAGGGAAGCCTTCTGCTGAACCCCGAAGTCTGCACGTCAGCTGTCAGACCGGTAGGCACCCCCTTAGCTCACCAGGGCCCAGGAGGTGATAGTAACCCGGCCTCCTAGGGGATGTGGGGAGGTAATGGGCTGCTGCCCTGGTGTAGTCATGTCATCTGTCTGTACACGTAGCGTTGGGCTTGTCTGCTTTCCCCTGACAGGCTTGCTTGGGATCGCATTGACTTTCTCTAATTTTTTTTCCTCTGCTCTATTCCATTGATTTATTCTAGGACCACTATTGTTTTGTTTTTCTTTTTGCTTTTTTTTTTTTTACATCATGTCTCATTTTCTCATGTTTTCCTCCTCTCTTAAATATCATTGATTTGAGGATTTTCTTATTTTCAAACATAGGCTTTTTGTGTTATTCAGGCCCCAATACAGATGTTAGCTGAGTCTACAGATTTTAATCTGTGGCATTTTTACTTTCATTCAGTTTAAAATGCTGTCTAATTTTCCTTTTCATTTTTTTCCTTTAAATCATCGTTATGGGGAGAGTTCTCAAGATGGCGACGGGGCAGTAGGGAAACGCCACAGCTCTCTCCAACCAAAAAGAGAGTTCGAGTTCCAACCTTTAATCTCCCCAAGAGACCGACAACAACAAAAAGACGAACACTCAGAGAAAAACCAGAGGTGGAAAATAACAAAAAAAGAAAGAGAGGAAAAGAAGAATTTCAGAACAGAGAAGAGCGAAGACCCCTCCCCCAACCTTTACTGGCCGCGCGGCAGTGCGCCAAGCCGCCGGCCAGCCGGCCCGGCGGGGGCTGCCGGAGCCACAGAGACACAGGGGGCTGCTTGCAGATCACCAGGTACCGGATTGCAGAACAGCGGATCGCCAGGAACAGAGAAACCTACCAGCCGGGAGTCTCCAGGAGGATCCCACCCCACCCATCACTCTCCACCGGAGCGGAGAGGCTCCATCCCGCCAAAGCCGCCCGGCAACAGCAGCGCCACAAAGGGACCTGACGCAATCGCAACGACCCGGCGGGGGGCCGCCCAACCCAGCCCGCAACCACCCCAACTGAACTCGGACTGCAACAACAACTGACAGACTGCAACAACAACTGACGACCTACAGGGTGAGTACCCATCAGGGGACAGGGAATCCATCAAGGGAGACCAGAGCTGGAGGGAATCCCCAGACCCTGACCTAGACTCCCTACCCCCCCAACACCCGGACCACAGGACCCACTAAAACTGGGAACTGTTCGAGAGCCCCACCAGCCGGTGGAGCACACTCTGCTGGCCAGGCCAGAGCAAGAGCGCCCCGGGAAGGGAGCTTAAATGCTCAAGCCAGGAACAGTGCCCCTGGGTCAAGACTACCAACAGTAGAAGAAATTTGAACTGTGTCCTCCAGGCAGCATAACCAAGGTGGTATACACATTAGCACAGGCCTAACGAGCGCGCTCCAGGCTGGGGCCGGAACCAGGCCAGGGGACCGGCGCCTGAACAAAGCAAAAAGGGTCAGAAGTGGGGCTGTGGCTCAAATGGTAGGGTGCCAGCCCTGAGCTGAAGAGCTGAGGGACAGCACCCAAACCTAGAGTTCAAGCCCACAACCAGCCCAAAACAAACAAAAACACATCAGGAGCCCATAGCAGACTCCAGTATTTGGGAGAGTGCATCCAGAGCATCTGATCTTCCCAAGAGCACCCGCAGGAGCAAACACAAGCAGTCTAGGCTGCTCAACCCTTCCAAAGGCGGGAATTGCTACAGCAGAGAGCTGAGAATCCTAAGTGAATAGCAGCTGGAAATAGGCTCCCAACAGAATCCAGATCAGACACAGACTCTCTCTACCAATAGAGAATCAGCAACCAAGCAAAGACAGACACACCAAAACAAGATTGAAGAGCAGTCTCCTGAACCCCCATGCGAAAATCACAGAGAAAAATCACAAGGTTTACCACTACCCAGGACAGCAAGCTCACCTCAAAAGCCAGCAGCCACGCAGGGGAGAGCCCCAGTGGGAGCAAAGCAGGAATGGAAGACAAAAACTACATCCAAGGGTTGCTGGAGGCAATGACTCAAGAAATAAAGCGAGAAACGGATCAGAAATTGAAAGAGCACAAGGATGAACTATCAAAAGATATACAGGATAT